TCTGAAGATGTGTGAAGATGATTGTTTGTGGCAAGAAATATTGGACTTTAGACGTCCAGTTAATTTTAAACATTCACCAATCTGTGACTTATAAACACTTCCTATGTGTATATCCTCCTATGCAAAGACATCACCTCTAATTTGCCTTTCAAACTTCCTTGGACACAAATCCTGTGAACCGGATATGTCCTGCAATGCCACTGCAGTTTACGAGTCGTGGAATACAACTCATCAAATCTTTTTCTGTTTTGGTGTACAAGGGAAAACCCACAGATGCATGAATCCATAAACATATGAAAAAAAAAAATGTTTTTGTGCCGGACTGTTGTGTTTATGAGACAATCTGCATTTAATAGTTGTGGGATTGGCTGGAGAAGCTGGAAGTTTTACTGGGAATTTTTACAAACTTTACAAACCTAGTTTAGTGACATGTCCTAAAAGAAAAGAAGAAAAACAAGATGATATTTAAAGACATAAAAACACTAGTAGCAAAGCATGTCGAACGCTGAAGCAGATTGGCTACAGCAGCAGAGGACCACACCAGGTGCCACACCAGTATCTAACCAACAGGAAACTAAACTACAATTCTCACAAACTCTGCAAAATGGACCAAAGATTGGAAAACTATTGCCTGGTCCAATAGGTCTCAGTTTCAGCTGCAGTACTCAGATGACAGGGTTAGAATTTAGTGTAACCATCAGGAAACCATTGATCCATCCTGCTTGCATCAATGGTTTTGGGTTCTGGTTGTGGTCTGGTTATTTTCCTGGCATTCCTTTGTCAATTTAAGTGCTACAGCGTTCTTGAATAGTGTACGTATTGCTGAAAATGTCATTGCAGCACCACTGTGTACTCATTGTAAGGTAATGCATCTTTATTACAAGGCTGGAAATTCTCTCGAACTGATGACTTAAACATCACTGAGTTAGCCGTTTTCCAGCATTCATTTGGTGAATAAGCCTCCACATTCACCAAACCAATAGCGTTGGGATGTGGTGGAATAGAAGATTAGTAACATGAGTGGCAAACAGTTACTTTCCATCACAAACGATTAAGGCAGTTGTGATGGGAAACATGGATTCGACCCTTACTAGCAAAGTGTACCAAAGAAAGTGTCTAATGTGTGTATGAGAATTATAGATAATTGTCGTACAATTATTTATTTTTACTGTTCAAAGAAATAATTATACCCATGCTGAGTTTAGGTAAATGTCTGATGACAACTGTAAACTTCATTGTCATCTGAGAACAAATGATGGACACAATGGTTCTAAATAGCCAACCCAGTGGGAAGACTGTCATTCAGTAATGGAGGGGATTTGATCGTTGAGGTTTACCACAAACTATTGCTACTTTTCCCAAAACTAACATCTCAGCAGTAGATTCTTTAGTGTTCTTGGTTATATATGAAACCCACTAGGCACTGAATCTATTTATGGATTTCTCCATCCATCTGTTTTTTTTTCTCTATTCATTTCAGGGCTTGTGTGTCAGCCCTGTGGGAATTTGGAGCCTATGAAGAAGCATAAAAAGTGAAAAGTGATGCAGCCCACAGACAGGCTAATGCCAAACCACTCATTTTCTGCACAACCACATTGTGAAACTTCTGCTGACCTCATTCTGGTCTAATAGGGTCTGTAGAGCAGACAGTGATATTGTAATAAGTAAATCATAGTGTTGATCTCACTAACACGTAATAGTTAAAACATAATGATTAACCAAACCAGCTTCATACAGATAAATGTCCTCTTATCGCAAAATGAAATGACTAAGCGGCAGTCTAAGTCATTGTTTTGCACTTATCTACTCTTTGACGAAAGGTGATTTTTAAAACATAACTACATTGGTGACCATTATGATTATTCATCTCAACACACAGTCATACACTTACACACTACAGAGCTTGAGAAAATGTCAAGGACATTAGAAAGATAAAAAGAAACAGAGTTTTAATGGAGTACATTCTAACCAGTCATTTCAATCATTTAACAAAAATATTGGGAAAACAAAGGATAAAGTAGTCTTTAGGTACCATAAAATTGACAAATTTAGTTATTTTTTTGTGTTGTTTCAGTTTTTGTGCCACATTTGTTCAGTTGACCTGTTACTGTTTGGATATTAACAACATTTGAAAACAAGAGGCTCTAAAGTTTCTCTCTGTGGAACACCCATGTCAAGTTTTTGTAAATATTTCCATCTCTAAGCAACATAAGAAACCAAAACCCTGGAGAATTTCTGAATATGCCTAATTTCTGTCTATCTTATAAGTATGCGGTACATTGCACTTGTTTACAGAAAGTCCCTACAGCAAGGTTGTGACATAATTATTGTTTGTTTGTTTTTTTTTTTTTTTAACCTTTTTCCTGAAGTCATTTATTTGAAAAAGACTGCATCCCATCACACAAAATATAAAAAAAGTCCCAGGTGTAGGGACACTTCTGCAAGGCAGTGAATCCTGTGCTTTGTTGCTTTGTAGGCCTTCCTCCCAACCAGCCTTTTTGAATAAGGGCTCTTTTTTTTTTTTTTTACAGGAAGTAGAGAATAATTGGGGAATACTGTCACAAGGTAGTGCTACACAGTTTTCCAGTAAGGAAAACAGCATAGGGCGCCACACCAATGATTGCGTCAAAGCTTTGACTGAAACACAAAGTTGGATTGTTTCTTCTGTCCAGTACAGAAAACCCACTGGTGTTATGTTATTTGAATGCAAATATCTTCCAAGAGACAGGAAATGTTGTACCCATGCATCTGGTCCCTTGAAAGGTGCTTCCTATTATTCAACTGATTATTTTTAGAACGCTCGTTAACATCCAAGCTGTCAGTAACTCAAGAGCCATTCAAGAATGCATTACCTATGATGAGGATGAGTCATTTGTGAGAAACGAATGAAACTTCCCTCCTACTAACTGGAGGGAAGTTTGTAGAAATCCTATTATGGAAATAACCAGTCAAAATCAAAATTCTGAAATCAGTCACACACATGAAAATGAAAGAAAAAAGAAAAACACCTGCAGTGGCCAAAAAGGGATGTTTCCTAACATCATCTTGAGTTCCAAATTTTGAAAATATTAATTTTGCAATAAACACGCAAACGCACCAGTAAGCCATGGAACTTCCCGTCAGTGATGTTGTTCACATATGTTTACATATTTGAGCGTCATTTTTCAGAGAAAATGAATAATAATAATACAAAAGCTTTTCTCTCTCTTGTAATTAGTATTTATGTGAAGCCATTTACTATCAAATGCTTGTTTGTTGCTTTCAGACAGACTGCAGCAGAAGTTTTGCTTCAGTGCTGTTTGCTTTTGTCAGAACATAAATCACTATTTTCTTGATCTTCAGCTGACCTTGACTACTAATGCTCCTACGCACTCTGCTGCCTGGGTCTTCAACGTCCTTACAGTTTAAAGGTCTGGAGTCAAATGAAATAAATAAACATGATTTTTATTTTTCAAATAATCTTTCAGCAGTAAAAAGGTGGTTGTTTTTCTTTTTCCTTTTTTCTTTTGTTTTTCTTTTTTGCAAAAATTTATTTAGGCGAAACATGATTTATTCCATTATTTAGGAAGGTGAAGATATTTGTATTGAGAGACTTAACATTACCCAAGTCAATAGAACTAAACCACAAACAATCAAAGGAAACATCTCTGTTGATTCTGGATGTACCCTATTAACTTTAGTTATGTAAGTGAAAGATGAGATTGAAGTTTTTAACATCAGCAAACACTTCGGTAACATTTTGTGTTCAAAACTGCTTCAAGAGTAACTGCACTGATGAACCCAAAGCTGGATTTAATTCTGTTCAATGAGCACAGATTATCTTGAACACTTTGTCGCCATCTAGTGATAAAATCAGTCAGACACACCAAATAAATAGGCACGCAACAGTGTTGCACTAAACTCTGCCAACAGGACTATCATTTCATTAGATAGTCCTGTTGGATATAAAATACAAATGTTTAAGAAACACTGATAATGCATAACAGAAACCTAATCTCTTTTGTCTTGTAATTTGCTTAAAAGAAATTCAATTCATCCATTTTATGAAACAGAATGGTGCATAAATAATGAAATAAATCATTCAGTTATTTTCCTTTAACTGAATGAAGTTTCATTGAATGAAGTTTCATTCAGCTAAGGAGCATTTTTCTTTAAATTTGAAGCTCAAAGTACAGTTGGAGTGAACCTAGTTTTGAAGGAATATCCAAGGCACTTTCTCTCCATCTAGTGACTAAACGTAATCCAGACATTATTTGTCAAAATGTATATATGTCATACAATGAACTGGTGTTTGCATCTGGTGCTCAGTTGGTACAACCTGGGCAGATCATCACACCATCACAAGGTAACACAAAAACTATGCAAACATGCATGTCACGCATGTCTTAATTTCTCAACATGCATGTTTTTGAACCACAGAAGGAAGCAAGAGAGAACCCATACATGCACTGACAAAAACATGCAAACATGCAGTGTTCAAACTCTTCTTGCTGTTCCACTTAACAGCCCTACATTTATCTACAAATAAATATACTGGGACGGTGACGGTCAAGAAAGACAAACAGCACCATAATTTACACAATATTTTACATAATTCTATGGTTTTGCCTTAAAATTATACCAAATAAATAAATGAACAGCATAAAAAGCAAAAAAGTATATTTTAAGAACATAAAAAATCTAAAAGCTATAAACCACGATCAAAGAAATAGTTGTAGAAATAAACTTAGTATACTAAGAACTATTATTTAAAAGAAACTGACCTATATGCACTCTAATATATTGTTAATTAGCGTCTGACTATGAGCCTTCCACAAATAACATTTTTGACAGTTCTGACAAAAAAAGGCCCCAAATACATTCAATTTGAAATTTCCCACTGTTAGTAAAGGATCCGTCTTGTTCCATAATATCTTGTTATTCACAGAAATGACCGCCAGGTGTCCCTGTTCTTCCATTCTTATCAGCATAAACAAACCAAGTGAACGGAAAAAGAAATGAGAGGAGGTCTCCCTGAAGTTTGCAAGAATGAAGAAGTGAGTCTGCGTGATTTGTTTTCGTACACGCGCCGACTGTCGACACTTTTTCATACAAGTCTGATATGAAAAGCATCTTTCATGTACGTCTTCGCCCCTTTTAAACTTCTCCCCACTGTTGTAATTCAAATGTGAATTGCGTTGTGAGTATCAGTCTTGCAGGGATGATAGCGGACAGGAGCAGTTATTAGGTAAGCAGGGTGTCGACAGGTAACCAAAGAAAACGGGGCTTACACCGTTTATAGCCGACTTTGGTTGGAGGTCCGTCTTCGGCCACTTTTCTTCTACTTTCGTCCAGCTTCTATTTCCTTCGTCACCGGCCTGAAGTTCGGTGTTTATCTCGACAGAAGAAATCATGACGGAGGAGAAAAACATTTCCAACGAGTTGTTCGGTAAGTTGAACTTCGAGAGCCACACTGCCACTCTTAAACGTCACCTAATTAGAGAGAGGGTCTTTGTGTTAGTTTTCTAACCCAAAACACCAAGATTTAGACATTTTTTTTGACAAATAATAACAAATATCTTTAAAGTTTTATTTTGTTTTAAAGTGAAATATTTCTCTTGATCAAAACTTAAACTATAAATATAAATTAATGATGTTGAAATGTTTTATGAGAACCAGATGCTTTTAGATTTAAAACAGTTACCAGAAACTCATGATGATCAGAGTGAGAAAAATAAAATAGGATATACAAATTAACAAACACAAATCATAACACTACATTTAACAGATGTGGGAAAACAGCGATTATAAACTAGAGAAAAAAAAATTCTTGTTTCATGTTTTTTTAAAAACTTTTTCTGCCTTTCAGTGAAAAGTTGTTTTCATGCCCTCGGGGTTTGGCTGGCTACCTAAAAGTTTCTCCTCTCCAACTTCCTTATCTGAAGGAGTGAAGCCAGGGCTTTGGAAAAGGGGTGTGCCCTGTGAAATTCCTTTGGATTGCGAGATATTATCAACAGACTTGCCTGGATGATTGAGTCTCAAAAAGAACAGTAAATCATTGCAAATTTGCAGCAAAAAGTAACCCAAACATTGTCCTCTTGATAGTAGTTTAAGCATGAGTTTGACCTTTGGAATTGCATAACATTGGAGTAAAGCTGTTGGGATCTGCAGTTTTAGCCCACTTCTTGTTGAATGAATCTTCCTAGGTGACACAGATACTAAATCAATACCCATTTTGATGGATAAAACAAATGCTTTTAAAATATCAACGTTTTACAAGTAATTCCAGTTGCAAAGTTGAAACCTTGGGTCCAGATGCTCCTAGGATACAGTGTATACATCTATTTCATCCATATGGCGGTTATTATGAAACTAAATCTGTGAAACTGACTCATGACCCCGTGCTGTCTGTTACGCTGTCTACAGCTCAATCTCACACTGTATTTCTCAGGATGGAGTGATGAATGGACCTTTTTGTTACCCGTGGAATAGGTCAGAATGGCTTGACGCTGCTTATCATCAGTAATTAAAAACTGAAGCAACTCATCAGATTTATCATTTTTGTGCTGCGATGCTGATCCAATAAAACATTTAAACAATAGGGGAATTGAAGAGATTAGACCTTGGTATACAGACCTAAATCGATCTCACATATGCATATTTTCCTTTCAGTTTTTCCTCAAGTTTGACAGAAAACTGCAGAAACTTTGCACATGCTAGCATGCCTTGTAACAATACTCCTATCTAGGGGTGCTCCGATTTTCTGGTTGACTGCCAATCTTTTTAAGCATGATGTTCCGATTCAGATTTTGGCCGATACCAAATTTTTTATCTGAAATTATATTAAATATAGCAAGAAAGCCGCTGAGTTGGCAATAGTTGACAATTAGAAACTGCAAACATATAAACATGAGCTGGTGGGTCAGTCTATCTATCTCTCATGGGAGAGCAGAGGAGGACAGTGGTGGATTTTTAGACCTTTGCTGAGGTAGATTAGATCAGCTTCATGTGTAGGTATTGGCCAATCACTGATCCCCCAAATTAAGGAGATTGGTGCTGATAAATCAGTTGGCTGATAAATCGGTGCACCGTACTCCTCTATCCCTTGAAGGTCTTTAAATTTGACATAATACAACTAAGTACAGCAAACTTCAGTGCAGCTTATTGGGATCTTATTTGATGGATTTGATTGGTCAACCCAAAGTGGGACATAAGAGCGATTTGTATTTTGCACCCTGATGTCAGTTCTTTGTACAATTAATTTCCACTACAATTACAGCTGCAAGTTTTTTCTTGTGTATCTCCACACTATTATCTTTGCTCTATGACCTATGCTGCAACATGCTATGATCTACACTAAAGCTACACAGAATATCAAATTGCAATCCTCATTGGGATATTACTGTCGCCATATGACACAAACTCAAAGGTTTGCTTAAATGCAGCATTTGAACAGACGTTTTGCATTTTCTGCATTCCAAAAACAAGTGCCCTGTTGAATCTATTTTTGCTGCTGCTTTCTCTTGATCAATGAAATAAAATTCCAGAAAGGTAGAGTAAACCTCATGGTTATAAATGGCAAAATATAAAATAAAGAATTATGAATAACATTGTCAGGTACTGTAGTCAACAGACCTTTGACAAATGTTAAGGGTAAACGGTACAATGCATGGCGGAGTATGTTGATCTTGGCATCAGCTTTGTTTGCCCTCTTTTAATTCCATAACACTAACCAACTGTTGAAGTGGACACTCTGATACCTGTTTGTATAGAGACATACATGGGAAATTGTGTTTTCTTTGCATGGGTTCAGCTTGAATCCAGTCAGTCAGTAATACTTCGACACCATGTTCTGTGTTTTTAACTCTGGGTTGGGTTGTCATATTGGTCTCAGAGTTATTCTGCTACCGGGTATTAAATCTTAAGAAAGTTGAAAATGTTTCTTATTATTCGACTCTCTTGAGAAGTAGCTGGATACATTTGAGAGCAAATGCTGAACTTTTTCACAGGTTGTCATAAACTATTCATGGCTCCTCATATTAGAAGAGATGCCCATGTGTTTCTGATCAGCCTCTGTGCTCCTTCATGCTGTAATGTTTTCATCCTCCACATGACCTCATCATGTGTCTGGCTTAGGAGAGGAGGAGTTCGGCATGATGTCATGAAGGCGGGCCCAAGTTCTCCTGCCTCATTATACTCACAACACACATTCCACTTGAACCGTACCACATTTTGTCTGCTGTTCATCCCTTTGTCTGTTGATATTCTCTCTTCCCTGCATCATCTTTCTCATTCTTCCTCTGTTGCTCTCTAGCTGACAGTTTTAATGTTGCCTACAATTTTTACCCTCCCCCTCTCTCTCTCGTGGTCCCCATCTGTCCTCGGATCTTTTTTCCGTTGGGTCAGAAACAAAGTTTTCCACTCTTCCATACCTCAACTCAAGAATTGTTAAAATAGTTTTCTATGGACCCATTTCCTTGGAAACATGAGGCTCTTTGGAATGAAAGCTGTGTTTTATGTTTCTAGTTTTATATGTAGATGGGTATACATCTAAACAACTGGACAAATCAAATTAGACAGGAAATTGGCCCTGCTGATCTCTAAGTAGGAAGATGTTTTTCTGCTCTTTTTATTTGCTGACTGTGTGTCTGCACTGCAAAACTCGCTGTCATTTTTGGCCCACAAACACACCCTCTTGCCTCTGCACCTGCTTTGTGTTTCAGTACACTATTTTATTTATAAAAAAAAAATCCCCCAAAGGCTTATTATTGATTCTTTGTTTAAATAGGAAGCATCTGAATATGGCAGCATACGAGGGACAGAGCAGGGATCAGCAAAACAAAGACGTAAAACTGAATAAGGAATAACATCATAAAAAGTTTGCACTCTGAGAATAGAGCTGAAAAGCTTAGAAAAACAAATGTCATAAAATCATTAAATTAAATCTTATGTTGGAATCCTGGTTAAAGAGGAAATCGGTTCCACTTTAAATATCTCCATTAGCTTGAGGCATGCTGTTATGGCCCAGCCAGAGTTAAATACAACAAGAATATCCAGCAACCAGAGCTTCAGGCTGTGACATCGACCCTCCTCCACCACCCTCCTCCTGCCTCCACCCATCTCCATTGTGTAATTAGTTGTAATGTGACCTTCCTGTGGCTGTCATTGTGTTAATTGGGCTTTCTTGTCCCTTTCTACTGTGTGCTGTAGAGAGTGTGCGGGAGGCGGTGGGCCGAAGGGTGAAACTTGCCCTGAGGCGTAAAGTCCAGCTGGAGGTCAAAGGTGACAAGGTGGAGAACAGAGTTCTGGTAAGTGGGAGCTGCTCAGATTTCTGTAGTAAATATTGTGTACAAGATGTCAGTACACTCAGGCATATCATGTTGGAGCATCATGAGTTTTTCATGTACAATGTTCTACCTGGTAGTGTGTTATTCTAAACCAAAAGAAAGCAGTGCATTTTGTTAGTGTGGGCATGTTGCTGCATGCCCAGGAGCTGCTAAATATTTCTCCTTCATTATAAAACATACTTATTATGTTTTATAAAATAAAAAATAATACATTTTATATTTGAAATAATTAACACAAGTCCGTGTAGGGAAATGCTAAAACCAGACCTTGCACTTCAGGGGATGTACTTCTTTCTGAGTTCAGTTATTTATTGTAAGATTGGGTGAAAACATGATGGCACTATATGAGTTTTCAGTGATAATGTTCAATATGGGTTAATATGGAAGAACAAAGACAAAATCATTTGATGGCTTAAACTGTGACTGGCCAATGTTGCTGAAGTTTGCATTCAATATCTCTGTTTGATGTTAAAATAAAATGTCTGTTTTAGTCTAAGAAGCATTTAATCATCAATGTTTTTTTTTAAATCTGAAGTATTTTGAATCATCAAATCTGAACTAGATAATAGACATGGAATAGATTTTTTTTTCTATTATTTTCAATTGAGACTGAAAGCATTTGAAAATTTGACGCCATTCTTTAATATGGCAAACATGTACAACAATTTTTGGATCTATAATTATTTTCACATCCCTTTCCTACGACAAAAAAAATTGACTACTTTATTAATCCAAAAAAAAAAAAATCACAACCCAATTTTTTGTTATTTTTTTGTGTTTCCTTATATTTATTTTATCCATGAGCACCTTAGATTTGACATTTTTTTCCTATGTGACAAAACGTTTGGAGGACACTCGTTTAAGATTGCTGTGGTCAGAGACTCCATGATGTGCCAAATGTGTTCTTTATATATTTAACCCTTAGCTTTTTATGTGCAAAGTTTTTTTCTTGTTAAACTGTTGAAAGAACTTCTCTGATTTTTCACAGACAGCAAACGGAGGCAGATCAGCACTTCATTAGTGACCAAACTGTTGAGCTTACTAGTGGTATTATTGCTAGCTTGGAGAAAAGACTCCAGTGGCTAATTGTTCAGGCCAAATATGGTTCCATCTGTTTGTGTTTAAGAGTTATTGTAACACTCATAGTGAAACATGAAAAGAACTCTTCAACTCTGTTGTCACTTTGATTAAAGCACCATTAAGACTTCCTTTGCTTTGATTAAAGTAGTTGTGTCCAGAATCCCTGTGCCAGCTTCAGATCAAAGGTATAAAACGTTTCGTCCAGAGGTTTTTAGTTATTGCAGCTGCTTTCTGAACTCCAGATCCAAGATCTGTGTTTTTTTTTGTTTGTTTTTGTTTTGTTTTTTTAATATTTTATTCTTTCATAGATGAATCTAAAAACAGACAGAGGAAAACTTGGAGTAAAGTGAGTGTTCAAGTGCAATTCTTATCTGACTTCTCAAGGTTGTTCAGTTGCAGATTCTAAGGATTGTTAGAACTCGGTGAGCACAGCAGAGAGTCCCACAGTGGTGGATTCTGGGTACTATTTTGGCAGGATATTTGGTTTCATGTAGCTGCAGGCATGTTGATCAGTCTCTTTAGAAATATGTGGATATTTCACAAAACTTAAATAAAGCACACATCTGGTAAATTACACCATTTTTTATTTTCTTTTTATCCAAAGAAGTACAATTAAAATTCATTTTTGAAGTTGCAATAGTTTTAGCACATTATTTCATTGTCCGCATACCAAAGCTTTGCAACTCCTGTCAGGACTTGACTAGAGCAGCCCACTCAGAGCCACAGGATGTTGGGACACACACTCATGCTACATTCCACAGCTACAGCTTCTAGCATTAAAAACCCAGGAAGTAGTGCATTCAATTAAACTAAATCACTTATAATGTTGCATTATATATTAGCACATAAATTGTTTAGTTTTAGAAATCAATGGCAAGGAAACATGGGGGCAAGCGCACAAAAGTAATGTATCACTTCAATTGGATAAATGTAAAACCAGTGATGGTGAGTTTTTTTTTCCCCTAAATGCTGATGCAAGCTCAGTCATGATCAGATTTTGCTACTAAAGGCATCATGGCTCAGCAGTAACAGAATATGTTCTGCTTCTCGAAAGGCTCCAACCCTGTTAAAGTACAATATTTCTCCAATGTTAAAAATAAAAGATTATGCTAAACAAAACTGTTTTCCAGGTGTACAACTGAGCAGAGGAGAAAACAATAAACCAGTGTAACTAATATTTCTATTAAGAGTGGAGAAAATATAAAGCCTAAAGAGATGCATTAACCTTGTCCTTTAAATGTGCACAACCTTAAACCAACACCGTTTTTTTCTTAATTCACCCCTGCCATCTATTATAGTGACTGTTGAAACTGAAATAATGTTCAGCTGCCTGAGCAGACCTTTTAATAGCCTCTTGTGCTTCAGCTGAGAAGAACATTGTATACAATTATTTTGAACATATTGTTCATCTTTGTGTATTTTGGGATCTGGGTTTCAAAATAAATGAATTCCATGTATTATTTTCTTGCCATTTGCTTCTTTGTATCTTTTAGAAGCAGATTACAAAAGGATGACATTTAAAGTATCAGTCAGGAGAAAGCTTTCAATAAATGTGCTGTAATATATGGAATAGGGCATCACACTTACTTTGAGTATTTTGGATAGTATAATGTCAAGAGCTGCCTCACAACGACAAAGAAGATGAATTAAACTTATTAAAGTGTCACTTTTCTAGTTGAGTCATTCCTAAACCAAGGAGAAAGTAAAAAGCTTATTTGAAGAGAAATGAACAAACTCTTACTCAGTGGCCAAGTCATCTTTTAAAATAAGTTACACTTGAATTTCACTTGAAAACCAAGTTCCCACAGACTACAGGGAGGGTAAAAAGCAACAAAATGAAAGTTATTTGAGGTCCAGTGCCAACTTTCCACATTCAGTCATAAATTGGAGAGCTATTTCCTCCGTGGGTGTTGGTCAACTGTGTTTTATCAATCCAGTTAGAGCATCCTTCCAGGACATTTTACAGTACTTCATGCATCTTTGGGAATTTTCTGATTGCATTTGAAATTAGTTTTGTTAATGTTCTAATATGCAAGCCTCAAAAGCAGAATAAACTTTTCTCTAAAACTGATGAATGGACAAAACAGAAGCTGTTGAGGGAGGCAGCCAAGTGGCAACACTGCATAATTTTCTGCTAAGTATTGGTTGTGTTCTGTTTGCATCAATGTCTGGGCTAAGGAGAAGACATGTAAGACAGGAGCTTTTTCTTTTAAAGAAAACCTCCAAAAAACCACTTTGACTTTCAGGAGTTTTCTGAAGAGCTTAGGAGAAAGAGAAGGTTCATCTATACAGCACAGGAATTACTTTGTAGGACTAAAATTGAAGTTTTGGAAGTGCCTAATAAGAGTGAAGAACAAAATCTACCCAAAAATCTGTGGAGTCACTTAAAGAGGGCTGTGGACAAGTGATGTTCTCCCCTTCTCATGGATTTAGCAGTGTTCAAATATTGCAAAGTCAAGATGTAGTGCAGTGACAGCCAGCAATAAAGCCTAAATGTTGAAGTTAACTCCTAGAAGTGTTTCTAAAAAAGTCTTTGTTAAAGGTGAATAAAAAAATGTATGTTAGTCTTTTATACATCACACACATATACAATTTTAACAAAGATTTGTATCTTTTGAGATTATCTGCTGTAATTTACTAGCAAAGTGTTGGTGCAAGGATCACATACAGCTTTTTGATTTGCAATTATGAACAATTTGCTGTGTTATACTTAAACAAAATGATGTGTATTTTTATTTGAGAACATTTCAAAGCTGAAATGATTTGTTTGCCAGTGTTAACCTTAACTTTACCTTGACAGAGTTGCTCCTCTGAAGGTAGAGAGAAGGATTGTAATGAACATCAGTGGAAACATTTGTTGATGTTCTTTGGAAAAACTCTGAGACTTTCAGGAAGTCTGAAGCTTGAGCGATTTAAAAGATACCAGTTAATCTAGTTTAAAACGAAACAAAAAAACAAAAAAAGGGTTTTAAATGTCTTTAAAATGACACTTTTAGTTTTAGTCTTTAGTTGTTGTTTTTTTTGTTAGCCTTTCTTTAACAAAACGAACTCGAGGCTTTGATTTCTGTGAGTTGTAGCCCTCACTCTGCCTATCCTACTGTTTGGTCTGACAGCTTGAATCCATTGGACTTCAAATGCACAACAGTACTATTCTCTTGTCTACAAAACACCTGAATGCAGATATTTTCAGACTTCTCAAGCCAAACCACTATCACAGGCCATTATCTGAAACGCTGCCTGTCTGAGGAATCACTATCTTATTTGCTGGAAGCTGGACTTAAGCAGATGTGACCTGGAGAGACCTCAGTCAGCTACACAATGGGTTACTGTAAATGTCACAGCTGGCTTAGCCTCCTGTCAGCCATGGCTGACTTAGCATGGATCCCCCCCCCCTATCATTTTCTTTCAACATCATTACAGAGAAAATGTCACAACGGCTATTAACTTGCACAATTCAAAAATAATTCAAGGAAAATGTCAGACATTTAAGTTGCTAATTTTGTCAGCATGAAACTTCCTTGTGTTTGCTGAGTGGGAAGCCACAATATGCACTCACTCTGTGGTTAAACACATAGTTTCAGATAATGTATATCATTATCACACTCCGTTAAAAACCCTCTTAAGAGGCCAACACACTTTGCCGCTCTCTGCGAAGGGAAAAATGCTAACGTGTTGGTATGTAACCTTAGGAGGAAATTATCTGACTATGTGTGGGCTGAAAGTGAGCAGATTTATTTTCTGTCCTTTTATTTTGGTTGACATTTTCTTCACTTTTCCTCTGACCTTAGGCCTTTGCAAATGTGTAAGAACTCGTGAATGTGCATCGGATAAAACAATACAAATTTCAACTTTCAGCTTTTTTAAGTCTTAGTTTAAAACATAGGACATTATAATAATGTCTTGCAGTCTTTTTTTTTCTTTATTTGTTGTAGATATTCTTTAAATGATGATGGAATGTAGTTTTATTTTGTCATGGCCTAATTGGTAAACCAAACTCCTCTCCTTTTATTGAACATCTCTGTGTCTTTCTGCAGGCGTTGGCATCACATCGAGCCTATCTGCTGACAGCACGGGTCCCTTCCAAGGTTAGCTGAACTCTCTCCACATGTATGAGAACTTATTTTAATAAATCCACATAGTTTTGTTTAGAATAGGTTTAAGTTAATGGTTTTATTTTTTCTTTCTCTGCAGTATTTATAAATTTACTCATTGTGTCATACTGACATGCTGAGCTGTTGTAGGTACCTAGATATGGCACCTGCAAAACATCAACAGGTGGGCGACAAAGCAGCTGGTTAAACTGCAGAATTGTTTTATTTGTATAAAGTTTAAATAATTTATTTTAAATAATTTGTTCTACAAATAAACAGTTGAAACCAGATGGCTATATTATGATATGTTATTATATTATATTTTGTTTGTGTAGCTGTTTTTGTAATACATGTTGTGTGTATCATGTGGACCCCGGGAAGCCAAAGACATGGTTAATGGGGGGATCCAAATAAACAAACAAACAAACAAAAAAAAACATGCCACACTATATTAAGCACATGAGAATTAAATGGAGTCACAACTATGGATGTAACATCGCAAATATATTGTGTCCTTATATGACTTCATAAAAAAATCTAAAGAAATCACAAAAGGAAAATCAGGAAGGAAATTGTGGATTTGCACAATACCATCTTTGGTACAATTTAAGGATGTGTGAAGGCATTTTCATCTGTTCAGACCATTAAATTCAAATATAAATGGCATGAATGTTCAACCATCAATGTCAGACTACCTCAAAATAAATATGTCTGCACACTGTAATATACCTATGACATGGAGAAAACACAACCACTTAAAAATCTGAACTTACTAAAAGGATGATGGTTCCTTATTCTTAAAATAACAATATTGCATTACAAGTTCCACTGCGTGCACCAAACTGTATAGCGCTATATTAAATCATAATTTTTTTCCACTTCCTCTTTTCTGATCTCTGTTTATCTGAACATTTCTAAAATGGTCTGGTCTCTTTTTCTCTTTCAGTTTCCTTTTCTCTCATGTTCAGTCTCTTTGTCCCTGTTGCCAGATGAGAACAGGTCCCTCCATATGGAGATATTTGATAGTCTTACCCACCATGCAGCTGTGAGAACACAGCCTGTGGGAAAGGAAAACAGTGACAGGAAGAAAAGTTCAAACCCGAAGGGCAGAGCTTATATAGAGAGAAAAACACTGTGGGATGACTTTAAGAGTTAAGAAAAGTAATAATATTTACAGGATCTAACAGAATCTTTTCTCTCATAAAATTAAAATAACTGTCTAAACAGTATATTTTTACTTAAAAAAAGACAAACCGCCCCCCTCCCCCCAAAAAAGACATGACCTACATTCATATTTTGAAAATGTAGAAGGCAAAACTACAAATACATTTGTTTAGAAATCTCAAAAGCAAATCTATTATATTCTGAAGCCTGTCGTGGTGAACTTCCCTATTTGGATTTGATAAATGGTTCTAAAAATTTACAAGCCATTAATTACATTGATTTATTACAAGGGCAGTCAAAGTCATAGTTTAGTCTTGTTCTTAAATTACTTATGCTGTTTCCTTGTTCTCAGCCCTCTATTCTACTTGCAACCTTATTTTTTTTTTTTTTTTTAGCAGGGAATGTTATTACTAATGTTCATGTGAATCAAGCTCAACGATTTTATAAATAGTTGGGAAAGTCTGATGCAGAAACAAACTCAAATTTAAACTCAGGAAGGATGTCAGCTGGTTGGGATTGGATTTGAATTTCATGGAACAAAAGATCATGAGATTTTAATCATTATGAAGGATCATAAGTTACGTTTTCATTTTTATTCTAAGCAGTGTGGGTTGAGTTCAACCCATGCCTCTGTGACTTTAATACTTATACTTCAAGAGTACAACAGCAGAGCACAAATGATACTTTTTAGCATGTTTGTAATAGAAAGATTAAGAGTTCGAGAACCAGCGACCCGATAACATTCATTGCAGACCAACAGATGTACAATTCCCCCTAAAAGTATTGGCACCTATTGTAAACATGTGTAAATAGATTTTTTTTTTTTTTTTTTTTTTTAAAGAGTTTTAACCAGATGAAACTAACATTTTCACATTTCAAGA